CGTACCCACATCTCTAAAAACGGGGGTACAACGGAGCTGATCCAGATTTGCGTCCGATATGACGTCATATTGGTAATGCAGACCCACAGCACTATCAGAAACGTTGCTATCAGAAACAATGCCTGACTGCTTTGGACATAATATGATCTTTGTTTACATTAGCAAGTATCGCTAGCACTCAGAGCTAACCTGTACTGGAGAGAGTATGTGTAAAAAAGCAGGAAATAAAAACAGGAACTCACCTTGTGGTAAACCCGCAAGAGAAAAAGCATTTGAGCTCCATACCGTTTCAGAAATAATCCTTGATGTGGTTTGGAACATGATATGGCATTTAATCACGGCAGCATTTAGCTGAGTATCTCGTAGAACTTTGAGCAGGCACAAGCTCCCCCTCCTCTTTTTTTTTGTTCAAGCTAAGGACCCCGAATCAGCCATTCTCTAACAGGGTTGAGACAGAGGGATATGAGGGATGTCTAAAATGCATGATCTGTTTGGTATTTTGAGCAAAATACTTCATAGACATGTTTTTAATATATTTTTATATATCTGAGACCCCTAATATATGCCTAAAAATAGCATAATAGGAGACCTTTAAGTAAACCACCCTTTTTTTTCAGTCCTCAGCCAAGAGTCTGCGCGCAACCATCGGCGACGCATTTGAACGCCTCCACCGCTTCCTGCGCGAGCGTCAGAAGAGCATGCTGGAGGAGCTGGAGATGGACACGGCCCGCAAGCTGGCCGACATCGAGCACAAGATCCAGCGCTACAGCCAGCAGCTGCGCGACGTCAAGGAGGGCATCCAGATCCTGCAGGAGCGCCTCAACGAGACGGGGCGACACGACTTCCTGGAGGGAGTCGCCGTCACATCTGAGAGGTGCTTCACCTGCCCTGAGTTTGATAGAGCAGTCCCAGTGTCATCACTGCAGACCGATAAGAACAAAAATGTGGTTGTAAACACATTCGCTCCAAGAAGGTTTTTATCAACTCTTAAAGTCTCGTGTGAACAGTTAAAGTTAAATATTTGCTGTTACATTTGTTATGATACCCCCCCCCACACACACACACACACACCTACAGCATGCCAATTGTGTGTTCTGCCAGTGTGAAATGTGAGGCTGCTTACATTTTGGAGAAAGTCAGAATATCCCTGAACAGATGGCATATTATGCCTGAAATACACCAGCTGTAGTGTTTAATCCGCGAGGGGCACTTGAGGATGATTTAATTAAAGGGTTAAGTATATTTGAGCAAATTAATGAGTTTTACAGAATACCACAATATCTTTAAAGTAACAATATCAACAAGTTTTTGTTTTATTTAATATTACTTATCCTAGCAGAATGATATCATTTAAGAAACTGTATATAAATATGGTGAACAAACAGCTATGATTTTTTATCAGCTCAAAACATGTTGGATTTTTTTTTCACGGTTTCATTAAGTCACACTTTAGTAACAGACCCCACAAACCTTTTATAAAACACCGCATGAGTAATACTTATTTTAATGTTCATTTTTTTCGGCATATATATATATATATATATATATATATATCCAATACATCCCTTTTTCAATACACTGCACTGTTGTTTTCAGGATCCTTCACGTGGAAAGCGACCCACTCAATATCTTCCCTGAACGTTGGAGTACATGTAGGGGTGATTCATGTGGAGGTTCATATTGAATGATATTGTAATGGTGTTAGTCTAATACATTTATCTCTGTTGCTGCAGATTTATGAGGCAGTCTGTCAGCTGATTAATTTAAATAATGGCAGAATTCAAAGGCTCATACCACAATGAAGCATCAACTTTGTTGGTTGAACAAGAGGCAGTATTATTTGGAGCAAAGAAGCAAATTGGATTGAGACATTTATTGATCTTTTTCTTTTTCTTTTTCTGTCCCGACAGGATTAAAGGGAAGATACATGAGACCAATCTGACGTATGAAGATTTCCCGACATCTAAGTACATGGGGCCCTTACAGTACACGATATGGAAGTCGCTTTTCCAAGATATCTCACCAGGTATGTGAACAAAACTGGAACCATTGTACATACAGTAAGCTAACTCATTAACATGTATTATCTCTTCTGTTAAATCCGGGGGGGGGGGTTGTGTTTATACTCTTATGATGCGGTTGCACAGTTGCCAATTTAAACCACTAACAGTTGTTGTTTAGCCAGCTTTAGAGTGTGGTGGCACTTCAAATGTGGAAACAGAATCAAACCATTCAGCTGTCTTTGTGGTATTTTATTTCTTCCAAGAAAGGTCAGTCAGCCTTACAGAGAGCGTACTGTCAGCAGAGTGAAAGACGTAGACCAGAGTTTGCGTTTCCTATTTAAACACAGAGAGGAGAAAGGGGGGGTTAAGCTTGGCGATAATAAAAGGTGCATCCTGGAAGTTAGGGAGGGAATATCAGGATGTTCTCAGTTCAGCTGAAGTTGAAGGTCATACTGTTGGTGCACAACATCGCAACAAATCTTCTTGATAAGGACCTTTCCCAAGCTTAGATAAGAGGTGAAAGCAGGGGCGGCAGGTACTGTAGGCTAGGGAAGGCTAAGCCTTTCCAAATATTTGTGTCACTGCATCCTGGTAGAAGAAAAATATAATATATAATGTTTGTGTCTTTGACATTAGCGCTGCTATGCAGCCACCTGTGCCCTGTACTACGAAGCCAGTTCAACAGACCCTGGATACGTTTGAGTTATCTTAACTAATCCTAACAAACGAGATCTCGCTAAGCGGTCCTACGACGCTGGTTAATATCAACTCGGTAAATCAACCCAGGGCTTCTCTCTTCAGCTGAGAGCGCGTTCACGTGAAAGGGGCGGGGTTAGCAACATTTGACCAATCACAAACAGGGACAGCGCAGCGTCATACTTCATTAATGAAAAGTAAACTAATATTAGACAAATATGAACTTTAAACATCCATGACTTAAACATATACTCCAGGATACAAGCCACATAGTTGCACCTGCAAGGTGAATATAGAACAACTGGTTAAAAAATAAATAAACTACAGAGTGTTTGAAAGCGTAACAGTTTTATGATATCACTGCCCCATCTAAGACACGAGTGGATCTGACTTTAATTACATTTGAGTTGAGTGTTTCGTCAACCTATGTGTTGCTTAAAATAATACTTCTGCATACAGTATGTGACACTGTAAGTGTTGCACGGCCAGATACGGCTCAAGAAGCTGA